ATTATTATTATTATTATTATTATTATTATTATTTTTTTTTTTTTATTATTTTTTATTATTATTATTATTATTATTATTATTATTATTATTATTATTATTATTATTATTATTATTATTATTATTATTATTATTATTATTATTATTATTATTATTATTATTTATTATTATTATTATTATTATTATTATTATTATTATTATTATTATTATTATTATTATTATTATTATTATATTATTATTATTATTATTATTATTATTATTATTATTATTATTATTATTATTATTATTATTATTATTATTATTATTATTATTATTTATTATTATTATTATTATTATTATTATTATTATTATTATTATTATTATTATTATTATTATTATTATTATTATTATTATTATTATTATTATTATTATTATTATTATTATTATTATTATTATTATTATTATTATTATTATTATTATTATTATTATTATTATTATTATTATTATTATTATTATTATTATTATTATTATTATTATTATTATTATTATTATTATATTATTATTATTATTATTATTATTATTATTATTATTATTATTATTATTATTATTATTATTATTATTTTTTTATTATTATTATTATTATTATTATTATTATTATTATTATTATTATTATTATTATTATTATTATTATTATTATTATTATTATTATTATTATTATTATTATTATTATTATTTTATTATTATTATTATTATTATTATTATTATTATTATTATTATTATTATTATTATTATTATTATTATTATATTATTATTATTATTATTATTATTATTATTATTATTATTATTATTATTATTATTATTATTATTATTATTATTATTATTATTATTATTATTATTATTATTATTATTATTATTTTGAGTACTATTGACCTGAAAAATTATGCTGTGGAGCCGTGTCCACCTTGCAAGGTAGACACGGTTCCAAAATTGTTCATAATTATAAATATATAGTTCAAAAGTTATGAACATATAGTTCTATAATTATGAATATAGTGTGGTGAACATAATTATGAACATATAGTTATGTAATTATGAATATAGAGATTCAATAATTGTGAATATGAAGTTAAAAAATTATGAATATATAATTTTATAATTATGAACACATAGTTCAATAATTATGAACATAGAGTTTTGTAATTGTGAATATAGAGTTCAATAATTATGAATATGAAGTTCAGAGATTATGAATATATAGTTTTATAATTATGAACATATAGTTCAGTAATTATGAAAATATAATTGTGTCCACCTTGCAATGTGGACACGGTTTCACAGCATAACTATTTATAAATAGTCAATGAAAATTAAAAATGAAACGAAAATATTATGTAAAAATATCATTGCATCTATATTCTAATTGACTAATTGACTAAAAATAAAAAATAAATATTGACTGAAAATGAATCTAATATTACTAATTGACTAAAATTATAAGAGGAAATGAATATTGATAATTGACTGCAAATAAAAAATGATCCATAATTGACTGAAATAAAAAAAAATGGTCAGATCATTACACTTTAATTAAAAATGGAATGGAAATTAAAAATTGGAGGAAAATATTTCAATAATAATATTCTACATTATCAATAGTAAATGCATATTTTAAAAAATAGTAAAAGTAAATTAAAAATAGAACGGAAATATTTCAATAATAATATCTACATCATCAGTTAAAAATGGAACGAAAATTATGTAAAAATATCATTGCATTTGATATTCTAATTGACTGAAAATATAAAAGGATAACTAATTGAGATTCTACCATTATATATTTTCACTCAAGTAACCCGTCCTGTTGGATTGAAGGTGTTAGCTCTAGACGAATATGAACAAGATTGTGTTGCCACTATCAATGTCGTCTAGAAAGAGATTTCAATAATGTGTAAATATAATCGGTGATATTAAGTTTTTTTTTAAATGAAAAAATTGTTATATATCTAGACAAAAAATATATATCTTCCATACAAATGAATAAGGATAGCAATTCATTTTCTATAAATGAGCTGTTAGAGAACGACCACATTTGCCTAATTTATGAAAATACTAAACAATGATAAATAAAATCTTTAAAGTTATAGCACCGCATGCGTACATCTAGACATTAGCTATTAATTTGAGAAATTATTTGCACAAATTCAAGAAATGATATCATCAAAATATATAAACGATCTAAACCATATCTTTAATTGCACTATATAATATTTGATGTTCTAATTTAAATAATTATATATAAATTCATATATTATTAACAAATCCATTCCGTGCATCGCCCCGGGTGCAAATACTAGTTACAAAAAAAAAAAAAAAATCGCATCCATACAATTTGCACACGCCATACTACATACACGCACACACCATCGTACATAATCAACAAAAAAGATCAGCTCACAATACAATTTATTATTAGTTATTACCTTTAATATTCTACCTAATATTATGCTCAAGATTACAATTTAATACTAGTCAAAAATAAACTCAACAATAGAATTACTTTTTAATCCTTATGTTTTAAAAATGTTCATAATTAGTTTAAAAGAATCTTTCAATGTCAACCATCCAAAATGAATCAATGGATATCATGAGGTCCCATAATCTCATGTACCATCGGGGTTGCACCGGATTCGAAGCCTATATATATATATATATATATATATATATATATATATATATATATATATATATATATATAAAATTAGGTTCTGGTGCGGTTAGGGGTTAGGGTGCCCAGGTGCGGTTGTGCGGTTTAATCTGGGTCATTCATCTTGCTTAAATCAACGTACAAGATTATCAAAATTTTAAAAAAAGACGCGGTGACAATTTTGTAATTTTTGCATCTAGGTCAAAATTAAGGTGAGCGGATCTGTGATTAATGTGCGTGAGTTTTGTATATAAGATGCGTGAGTTTTGTGCGTAAGGTGCGTGAGGTTTGTGCTTAATGTGCGTGGGGTTGTGCTTAACGTGAGTAGTTGTTAAAACTTAAAGTCTGTGAGTTAATACTTAAAGTGCGTGGGTTTTGTGCTTAATGTGCGTGAGGTTGTGCTTACTGTGCGTGAGTTTTATACTTAATGTGCGTGAGTTTGTGCTTAATGTCAGAGTTGTTGAAACTTAAAGTCTGTGAGTTAATATTTAAAGTGGTGGGTTTTGTGCGTAATGTGCGTGAGATTGTACTTAATGTGTGTTGGATGAAGAAGCATGCAGCACGTCTAAATGACCAAAAGAGTCTACCAAAACCAAAAGTGTCTACCAAAACCAAAAGCGTCTACCAAAAGTGCGTCTTCTTGTCCAACAATGTGCGTGGATTTTGTACTCTTAATGTGCGTGAGTTTGTACTTAATGTGTAGGTTTGGTACTTAATGTGCGTGAGTTTGTGCTTAAGATCTAACAGTTAAGGTGCGTGACTTTCTTCCAAACACGCGTTTTTTTTTAATTTTCATTTATTTGAGCCGTTGATTTAGATTTGATCAACGGCTCAGATCTAACCGCACAACCGCACGGGAAGCTATACCCGCACCTGAACCCTTCCCTATATATATATATATATGAATGGTTGTCGTCCTCTAAAAGAAACCATCAACGTTACGCTGCTTCTTTTTCATTCATACCAAAACATGCAGCATGAATTTCCTTTTTTTTTTTTTAAATACACCACACACGGCCTGGTAATTGCTTCAAGAATAACGGCCTCTGTGACGTTGCTTTTCCTTGATATGTATAAAGTGGAAATTGTTCCCTCCTTGGTATCCCACAGCAAAATCAGTTATAATCGGAGCAATAATTCCAATTATACTGTTGGCTATCAACATTCAGTAATGTACCTTCAAAAATGTATACATCAAAAGTTCAAGGGTGTAAATGTTGGGAATAAAATTAGAAAGTTCAAATAATATTTTCCTTAAAAATATACGTATAGCATATTAAAAATGTACCTTATGTCAGTGATGGACCATGCAAGATGGACCATGGTATAATGATTGAATATCTTGTGCAATTTGCTAGTCGATAATACAAGCAATGCTTATACCATGGACCACAGTTCATGTAGTAAGATAGACCCCTTATACAAGTTCATTTTTAATGCATTGTAAGATTTATTTTTTTAATATAGTACTACGTACATGTTAATTTTAACTTGCAATGCACTAAAAATTAGAGGGTATAACTAATTGATAACATTAGCTGATTGTAGAAAGGTGTTTGGTAAATTAGTTGTTAGCTGATAGCGGTTAAAGTATCTACGAGGTCCCTGTACTATAGCGTTTTGTTCAATTTAGTCCTTATACTTTTATTTTGTTCAATTTAGTCCCTGTACTTTCAAAAGTAGTGCAATTAAGGACAATAGTTAACGATGTTAATATTATCGTTAACTTAGGTTACGTGGCACTGATGATATTTATATTCCTACTCATATATTACTTTATAAATATTTAAAATCTATCATTTTTACTACCAATATATTAAATTAGTATGTCCACAATAAATAATTACGACCATGTTCATAATGAGATTTAGACAATTGTCCTTAATTTTACCATTTTTTAAAGTAGAGGGACTAAATTGAATAGAATAAAGGTACAAGGACTAAATTGAACAAAACACTATACTACAGGGACTTCATAGGTACTTTGACCGCTGATAGCTGTTTGGTATAATTTCTTTTTTCTCAAAAAGCTAATTGAAAAAGTTGCTTTGAGGAGCTTTTTACATTTTATCATTTTGAAGTTACAAAAAGCTAATTAAACAAACACTTATATTGATTTTTTAACTAAGTCAAACAATTAATAGTGGTCAAATAAGCCAAAATTGACGGATTAACTAACTATTTTACCAAACAAGACCATAATGTACTACAAATGAACCTACACGTACATAATATGAATGTCGTTTTGAATCAAGATCCCCGATGCAGCGTGGACTATATAATTTGGCCACAAGGTCTGAGACATGTAAAGAAAAGTGTCTTAAAGTATTGGACATTATTGGCTAAAGGCCCAAAAGCAGCAGCAATATCACCAACAAGAATCTAAGGCTTAAATAAGGGACTAGAACACCTGCATATTTAGGGATTGCAATAATGTAACAACACAATAAAACATAAATGGCAAACCTTATTTTTCTTCCCTCTAAAGTCTAAACACAAAACAATTAGACAACTACTCCAATAATACCACTTACCAAAATCTAACCTTATTGGCAAACCCCATTTTTATTCCCTCTTACCAACACTAGGAAATTTTAGTTTACTTCACTTTGACACATAAACTAATGAGAAAACACTAACATATCGCCACATCATCATCGTCATCGTCGTCTCTATTCCTTCTTGTTGAAGTACCGGAATCCAACCGCAAACCCCAATATCAGTAAAGGCAGCAAGAATTGCAATAGTGTCATCATACCTCCCGATTTTTGCTTGGGTGCAGAGGATGTCGGAGGTGGAGTGTATATGGGTTTCTCCGGCACAGTGTTGCTGTCAATATCACCAATATAGTATTTCTTCATCGTCTCTCTCGCATCATCGCTGTGCCCAATATCTTCAAAGTCATTGGTTGCATCCTTTCCTGCAAATTTCAATACGAGTATGCACCGGTCAACAAAAATAGAGCTCCGCTATTTTCCATTATTGTGACTAAGGTTTTAATATTACCCGTTGCAGTTAGGAGGACATCGTCACCTCCAGGATGATCATCCAGATATGGAGTTACATTGTACACCTGATAAGTAATAAACCAATGGAAAATTCCATAGATTAGAAGAAGTTCTCACATTGATTTAAACACCGATACTCATAGTCCATGTCTATAATGAACAGGTTGTAAACTTGTAACAAGAAGAAAACTTAAACCAAAAATAACTCAACACACGTAAGAATCAAGTACTACAAGAATTCTTAAATTAGGAACCGTGAATAGGAAACCAGATTCCAAACAAATACAGCTTGAGCAATGACATTGATGAATAGTGGACAATAACAATAACTATCAAGGCAAACTTTTCAGCATGGCTGCTATACTACTTTCTCTTTTTTATTATTTACAATTTCCGTCATACACCAAGTTCAGACCAGATTCTATATATATATATATATATATATATATATATATATATATATATATATATATATATATATATATATATATATATATATATATATATATATATATATATATATATATATATATAGCAAAAATATATTCAAGCAACACCATGCTGTTCCAGATTATCAAACCACACATTTTGTACCTTCTGAGTTCCATAGAATTAGATATTCTTAAGACAAGAAACCCATATTCAGATGTGTGTGTGTGTTGTGGGTGTAGCCCAAGGTTTCGACCATCGAACACAGTGACTAATCCCCTCGCTGAATTGTAGGCACCTCTATAGGGTGAGACAGCTGGCCTGGAGATTTAAGGTTGCTCCATACCCAAAGCCAAGGATCGAACCCTTGACCTTTGGTTAAGGATGGATGAGTCCCTTCCACTCAACCACACCCCCCAGGTTGTGTGTGTGTGTGTATTGCACGTGTTTATGCAGACACCTAAGGGAAAACCACAGGGTAAGCTTTTTCCATCAAAACCTGTTAGTTCTAAATAAATTTCAGAACGGGAAAGACAAATATCATTCATAACAATGAGAGGTTCCTTACATTGATGTAACCACCCATATTCATAACATTACTTATTAATTATTATCCTAGTCACTAGGAAAAGACAGATAAAGGAAAAACACAATGGAAAACCAAGCCAGATAGCGTCTTCTCTCAGCTTGAAAGGGAGAGACTTTATGAAGCGAAGGCATCTCTATACACATGAAGATAGATAGAAAGAATTTAAGAAAAAAGAGAATATACTCTCATGGTACTGAAACAAATGTAAGAGAACTCCTAAAGCACTTAGGAACCAAAAAAAAAAAAAACAAATAAAAATCTAAACACAAAATTAGATTCCAGTAACGACATTAGAGAACAGTAGGACTTCTACAATAGCTTGAGCAGTAAAAGATTGCTGCTAGAACACTTTTTAAAAGGATAGTCAGGTGTACAAAGCTCCTATTTTGGAAAGTGCCTATGAGGCTTACAAGTCAATCAAATTTCTATAATCTTTGTCCTACATAAACAAGAAGACAAGTTACTCCCAACCTCTCCCTAAAAAACATGATGAGAGAGAGAAATAACTCTCTAAGCTAAAACTTTCAAAGAAAACTTGTGTCTTTGTCTACCCATTCGAGGGGCAATGGTCTGGGTAGCATCTGCATCAAAAGATGTTTTGTTTCTGTATTTTGGCAATTATACATGATAATGGTTTCCTGATAAACGCTTTATGTTCATATTCTGGAAACATGGAAAATATTCATGGTATACTGTCTATACTCCAAAAAGGGGCAATAGACCTTGATGCTAAAGTGTGCAACTAAATAATCAGATAGAACATAACCATAGTTTATAGATTTATTTTTTGCAGATGAAGTACCAGGGAATCCTTAAGTCATGACTATTCATTGAAAAAAAAACACCCTTTCCATTTTTTATCTATTGGCCACAAGCAAGAACATAAATATATTATGCAAGAAGTTAATCTTAAACCAAATCATAAATTTGAGAATATACATAAGAATCTAGTTTAGAATATTCCTTATATTTTCACTTTAAAAAAAGTTGGAAACTCTTCAAACTTTTACCAAATCCTTCATGTATCTTAAAATTACAATTTTCAAATAATTTCAGTTAAATTAACCAAACAACATTTGACAACAACCTCAGCTGAGAAGTAAAGCACATCAAAATGACAAGCAAATCAAAAATTGGTTTTCAGATGGTGGACCTATATTCAAGATAGACTTACAATCAAAATTGCACCAGGAAAAGTTTCACAGATCAAGAATAAAATTGAAGAAAAGAACTACCTTTCCAGAGATTATAATCCAGCAATCATCTTTCTTATTGTGCTTAGAAACCTCCTCAAAGGAATGAACTTTGGCGTCGGAACTCATCTTCTGGAAATTTGAAAGATCACCCATTTCAGTCCAACAGAAAAGAAAACCAAAAACTCTAGAATGCTAGGACTTGAATTTAAGTTTGAAATTCAGCAAAAACAAGAGAAAAAAGCAAAAATGTAAGAAATGGAAAGGAAAATAGATACGATACCAACTTGAAGAGACGGGAATGGGGCTCTGGCTCTCGCTCGCAGGAAAGGCAACAGAATTCGCTAAAACTCCCAAGAATTTGGGTTTGTGAATCCCGAGGTGTGGCCGCTGATAAAAAAAATAAATTTTGAGAACAATCGCTGATAAAATTTATGCGGAGTAATCAGGTCAAACTAATACGGCTATTTTAATTCTATTAAATTATTTAAAAATAAAAAAAAAATAAAAATAAAAAACAAAATACAGTAATTGTTTTTCAAATGTGTACTACTGAGTACAGGTGATATCAAATTTGATATTTTCTAGGAAGTATTAAAACATGGGTTAAGTAATAAGGTTCACTAATTCTTAAAAAAAAAAAAAAAACACCAATAATCATGATTCATGAATACAATCGGCGTGAATTATGTTATTCCCTCGTACCAAGTTGGGAGCTCGTCCGGTACAAGCTTAACTCACTTATTCAATAAATACTATTTTATTAAGGTTTGAATTTTAACAAGAGTAAATATCTAAAATGGTCCATCGACTATAGATAAATTTACAAATTGGTCTTCGACTTTCAATTTCAACCAATTAAGTCCTTAACTTTGCAATTTTGACATGATTTGGTCCTCCATCTATTTGACCGTTTGTTGACCGCAATCTTTGAGGATATATATGTAGTTTCACGTGCAAAGCTCAAGAGAACGCTCTTGGAGGTGACATCGTTGTTTCTGAGGGGGAAGTGCTTCTCCGCTTACTGCTTGGGGATCACGACCCGGTTCAGCTTAGAGAACGCTCTTGGAGGTGACAGCGCCATTTCGGAGGGGGGGAAGTGTTTCTCCGCTTGTTGCTTGGGGATCCCGAACCGGTTCAGCTTGCCTACATCGCTTGGAGTCACGGCTTTCTCGAAGAGCCACTTCAGGGACTTCGGCGATCTATCTATCAAAAGCTATAATCTCTCCGGCATGGGGTGCAGCGCCTGTAGTGGATTCAAATGTAACAGTGTGGTCTAGTAATACAACAGAAACCTTAAAAAACTGATGATGGACCATGAAAATACATATATATCCTGAAAAAGCGCAGTCAACAAACGGTCAAATAGACAAAGGACCAAATTGTGTTAAAATTGCAAAGTTAAGGGTTTAATTGGTTGAAATTAAAAGTCGGGGACCAATTTGTGAATTTAGCTATAGTCGAGAGACCATTTTGTGTATTTACTCTTTTAACAATGACAGTATGAGAATTATACCTAAAATGAATAGATCCCTTGTGCATACTGACATTTGGCTCTAAGTCATTAGGTCACTGTAATTTACATCCTCTCAAATATTCTGTTGAACCAGAGTGTGGGGCCCTAAGGGTTGGGAATTTAACCTATTGGGAGAAGAAACTGAGAGCTTGTAAGTGGTATTTTTAATCATAAAATGACCTACAGGTTGGTTAATCTTCTTATATGTTGAATTTTAGCATTGCTAATAGACTGCAAAATAGTACTCCCTCCATCTCATTTTATGTATCTGGTTTGGTTAACGAGGTTTGACTGAAGTTATCTCTAATTTTATTTTTCATAATATTAAGTATAGAATTAGTATCTAAAATTTATATATTTAAAAATTACAAAAAAAAAAAATACTATTAAACACAAAAAATTAAATTTAAAAATTATAAGAAAATGTAAATAGAAATAAGTCAAAAAAGAAAGAATTGATTTGACCCCTAAATAGTAAATAAGACTGATAAAATGGAACACATGGATTAAAACATTTTCTCACAATGATCCCTATGTAAGAAGAATCCATCTTGTTCTGCACCAATCCATTAAAGAGGTTTAAACAATCAATTCGGACCACAATCTTAGAGTGCTACTCATTTTCAATCACGATAACGTTTTGCTACAAGTTGTTGTAAAAATTGACATCAAATTTGGAATCAAATATTTAGCAACTATGACTTTAATTATATGTTGGCCCTGTTTAGTAAATGGCTGTTAGCTGATAGCGATTAGCTGATTGTGTTAATTAGAGGGTATAACTAGTTGATAACATTAGTTGTTGTAGAAAAGTGTTTGGTAAATTAGCTGTTAGTTGATAGCGATTTGATATAATTTCTTTTCTGAAAAAGCTAATTGAAAAAGTTGTTTGGAATAACTTTTTAAATTTTAGCATTTTAGAGTTGCAAAAAGCTAATTAACCAAGCACTTATATTGATATTTTAATTAAATCAAACAACTAATATTGGTCAAATAAATCAAAATTGGCCTATAGGCCAATTTTTTATCAAACAGGGCCGTTATCTTTTTTTTTTTTTTTTTTATATTGAGATTTAACATTCTTTTAAATTAGAAAGGTGTTGAGATATTTGATGATATTAATCATCTAATTTAATTTTCATGTGTCTCTTGGATTTCCCATGTGTCTCTTGGGTTTCCATGTGTCTCTTTGTTTTCTTTGTATTCATTCTTCATCATCTTGTTGGCACTATAAAAAGAGTGCTTGTATTGAGGTTTAGACACAAGAGACAATATATAATCAATTCTCCATTTTCTTCTTATTTGTATTCTACATGGTATCAGTCGCTAAGGTTTATACATGCGTATAAACTCATCCATGGCCGACGACAACCAGCCGTTAGCGCAGCCTCCCCAACCTCAACCCAAAATTGAACCAAACTCTTCCTTTTACCTTGGTCCTCAAGATCGACCGGGTGATTTCATAACCCCGACACGTTTGACCGGAAACAACTATGATGATTGGGCTGCTGACATACAAACGGCGTTGGAGGCACGACGAAAATTTGATTTCCTTAATGGAACGATCACTGGACCGACTCCACCTTGTTCTCAGTCGGATTGGACCACAATCAACGCTATGCTTATTTCTTGGCTAATGAACACCATTAATCCTGAGGTAAAACGCTCTCTTGCTAAATACAGGGATGCCAAAAAGTTATGGGATACTCTTGAGAAAAGATTTGCAGTGACTAATGGGCCACGCATTCAACAATTAAAATCATCTATTGTTAAATGTGAGCAGTCTAAGAATATGTCTGTGTCCACATATTTTGGCCAGTTGTCAGCACTAATGGAAGAATTACATACCCATGAGCGTATTATTAAATGTTCCTGTTGTGTCTCTTGTACCGCCGGCAGTGAACATGAGGCACGACGAGAAAATAGCAAGCTACATCAATTTTTAATGGGTCTTTGTTCAGAGTATTATGCACAAGTTCGCACTAATATTCTGTCCATAGATCCATTACCATCACTTGACCGTGCTTATCAAATGGTCCTTCAAGAAGAGACAATTCGCTCAACTAAAGTCCCCGAAGACAAGTCACCAGAAGTTATGAGTTTTGCTGTCAATACCGGTTCTGGCAAGGGTCATGGTCGCTTTGATAAACCAGACAAATCTCATCTCTCTTGTACTCACTGCAAGAAATCTGGCCATGACGTATCTCAATGCTTCGAAATACATGGCTATCCAGATTGGTATGAGAATCGTGGCAACAACGCGCGTGGAGAACGCGGTGGACGGGGTAGAGGTGTTCCCCGTGCCAATGCCACTTTAACCAAAAAGCCCACTGACAGCTGTGGAGTTCCCTCATCTCATTTATTCTCACCGGACCAATGGAAGGCATTAACAGGGCTAATTAGTGGTACAAAGGTTTCTGATGATCAATTGACTGGTAAATTTGATGCACGATTGTGGATAATTGACACAGGGGCCTCTCGTCACGTTACTGGTGATTCCACTCGGATGACTTATGCAAAAGATATATTTCACTGCCCTGTTGGTTTACCTAACGGAAAAACAGTGGTTGCAACTCAAGAAGGCTCAGTTCGATTAACAGACAAAATTATTCTTCATCATGTTCTTTATGTTCCATCTTTAAGTTGCAATCTTATTTCTGTTTCTCAGTTAAATGATGATATGCAGAGCAGTGTTCTCTTTAACTCTCATATGTGTGCTATACAGGACTAATCGAGGGAGCTGATTGGAACGGGTGTTAGACAGGATGGACTTTACTACTTCAAGGGAACCGAATCAGTGCAACATCTTACAGTAAATGGTGTGACCACTTCAATCAATCTTTGGCATCAACAAATGGGTCATCCATCTGAAAAAGTGGTAAAGCTACTTCCCTCTGTTGAAACTGTGGGAAGTTTTAATAAAGCTTGTGAGGTTTGCTTTCATGCTAAGCAACCTAGAGAAAAGTTTCATTTGAGTAATAGCAGAGCATCTCGAATATTTGAGAAAATACATTGTGATTTGTGGGGTCCTTACAAACATCAATCCTCTTGTGGTGCGCGTTATTTCTTGACTATAATAGATGATTATTCGCGAGCAGTTTGGATTTATTTGATGGTTGATAAAACTGAGGTTCTCAAAATGTTTTTGTCTTTTGTCGCTATGATTGATAGACAATTCTCCCAATCAATCAAAGTCGTTCAGAGTGACAACGATACTGAATTCCATTGCTTGCGTGATTTTTTTTCTGCCACTGGAATTATATTTCAAACTTTTTGTGTGGGAACTCCTCAAAGAAATGGTAGGGTTGAGCGAAAACATAAACATATTCTCAATGTAGCGAGAGCTTTGCGATTTCAAGCTAGTTTGTCAATTTATTTTTGGGGAGAATGTGTTCTTGCGGCCGCACATCTGATCAATCGGACACCAACACCATTGCTTGATAACAAAAGTTCCTATGAACTTCTCTTTGGTAATCCTCCATCTTACAACACAATTCGTGTTTTTGGATGTCTATGCTTTGCTCACAATCAAAAAACAAAAGGCGATAAATTTGCTAGTAAGAGTCGAAAGTGCATCTTTATGGAATATCCGTTTGGGAAAAAGGGTTGGAAGTTGTATGATCTTGAAACCAAAGAATTTTTTGTTTCCCGCGATGTGAAATTTTTTGAGGATGTTTTTCCCTTTCCCCTCGCGGATACGACTACCATTCCTCATGAAGAATTTGTTCATGAAGATTTTTCTACAATCATTGATGAGGAGGAACCCAGCTCCACAAACGAGTCAAACCTTCAACCTGAGCCAAGCTTTACACCCGAGCCAACCTCTCAACCTGAGTCAGACTCCACACCCGAGTTCAGCTCACAGCCTGAACAACACACTAGTAATCTTGTTCCGAATAACCAAGATCAGAATGTTGAGATGGGTTGGGGTATGAGAAATAAAGTTCCTTCAGTGTGGATGCGAGACTATGTTATTAATTCTACTGTTGTTAAAAGTCCATCCTCCGTCACACCGTCTCCACAGTCTCCCTCAGGTACTCCTTATCCTTTAGCACATTACATTAATTGTGACAATTTTTCTCTGCCATACAGAACTTTTATGGCAGCAATTCTTTCTGAAAAAGAACCAAAATCTTTTAAAGAGGCGATGACACATAGCGGCTGGAAAGAATCTATGACAAATGAAATTCGGGCCCTCGAAGACAATCAAACTTGGACTCTTGAACATCTCCCACCTGGGAAAAAGGCTCTTGGGAGTCATTGGGTGTATCGAATCAAATATAATTCAAATGGGTCGATTGAAAAACTCAAATCAAGATTAGTGGCTCTTGGTAATCATCAGGAAGAAGGCATCGATTACACTGAAACTTTTGCTCCTGTTGCCAAAATGACTACTGTTCGTGCACTTCTTGCCATTGCAGCCTCTAAAAATTGGGAACTGCATCAGATGGATGTGCATAATGCTTTTCTGCACGGTAATCTCGATGAAGGGGTGTATATGAAGCTTCCCCCAGGCTTTGAGGCATCCAATCCTAAATTAGTGTGTCGATTGCGCAAGTCCTTGTATGGATTAAAGCAGGCACCGAGGTGCTGGTTTGCAAAACTTGTTACGGCCTTGAAAGGGTATGGTTTCTTACAATCCTATTCCGACTACTCCTTATTCACCTTTACTCGGGGTGGAATTCAGATAAATGTACTTGTTTATGTCGATGATCTCATCATTTCTGGGAATGATTCTACTGCTCTGAAGACATTTAAGGCTTATCTCAGCGATTTCATATGAAAGATCTCGACACTCTAAAGTACTTTCTTGGTATTGAGGTTGCTCGTAGCGCTTCTGGACTGTTTTTGTGTCAAAGGAAATATACCCTTGATATTATTTCTGAAGCAGGATTGTTGGGGGCCAAGCCGGTTAATGTTCCTATTGAGCAAAACCACAAACTCGGCCTAGCAAGTAGCCCAATTTTCTCTAATCCGCTAGCTTATCAGCGTCTAGTTGGAAGACTTATCTATTTGGCCGTAACTCGACCGGATCTCGCATACTCTGTTCATGTGTTGTCTCAATTCATGCAAGAACCACATGATGAGCACTTGGAGGCAGCTTTGAGAGTTGTCCGTTATTTGAAAGGTACACCGGGTCAAGGGATTCTCCTACGAGCAGACAGTGATCTAACGCTACAGGGATGGTGTGATTCGGATTGGGCCGCATGTCCTACTACTCGGCGATCGCTTATGGGTTGGTTGGTTTTTCTTGGCCATTCTCCAATCTCGTGGAAAACAAAGAAACAAACTACTATTTCTCGTTCTTCCGCAGAAGCAGAATACAGATCCATGGTAGCCGTTACTTGTGAACTCAAATGGTTAAAGGGCTTGTTGTTAAGTCTGGGGGTTCGTCATCACAAAACCATAAAGTTATTTTGTGACAGTCAATCGGCTCTTCATATTGCAAAGAATCCAGTCTTTCATGAACGCACAAAACACATTGAAGTGGATTGTCATTTTGTTCGCGATGCAATTAAAGATGGTTTGATTTTCCCTTCCTACATTCCTACCAAATCGCAATTAGCTGATATCTTCACAAAGGCTCTGGGGCAAAGGCAATTTGAATTTCTTCTTCGCAAGTTGGGCATTTCAGATCCGCATGCTCCAACTTGAGGGGGGGTGTTGAGATATTTGATGATATTAATCATCTAATTTAATTTTCATGTGTCTCTTGGATTTCCCATGTGTCTCTTGGGTTTCCCATGTGTCTCTTTGTTTTCTTTGTATTCATTCTTCATCATCTTGTTGGCACTATAAATAGAGTGCTTGTATTGAGGTTTAGACACAAGAGACAATATATAATCAATTCTCCATTTTCTTCTTATTTGTATTCTACAAAAGAAAAAAAAAAAATTGTCTTGTAAGAGATGACCGAGTGAGTAGAGCATATGACCACAAGTTTAGTTCTTATCAATAATATTTTGGTCGATCTTGATTTACACAGGAGCGCGTTAAAAGAAACTTAAAACTAGGCTTTTATATTTTATTTATTTATGGAGTACTTATTTTTATATGACTTTTAGATAATATAATTTCTTCCTCAAGAAAAATGTGCATCTTGTTAGTTCTGTGTGATGGATCTTTAACTGCCCAAACAAACAAGTCGGTATATTTTAATGATGGATGGTTGAATTTCAAATCAATCGTTATGCTATGGACCCGTGTGCATGCTGGACACAGGTAAATTCATAATGTTAGAGCTCTGTGTTCATAATTTTATAACTTACATTCATAATTCAATAACTGTACATTCATAATTCCATAACTGTACATTCATAATGGCACAAACGAATAACACCGTTAACGGTGTTAACGGCAAGACAAAATCAAAAAAAAAAATTTAACTGAAATGACATGCCGTTAACGGCGAGACAAAATCAATTTTTTTTAACTGAAATGACGCATTTTTTCTAAAAATGACGTCGTTTTAGACTCGTGTCCACAATGCATTATGGACACGAGTCCACTGCATAATTTGCGATTTCCAATCTATAAGGGCACCGTTTAATGATGGATGGTTGAATCTCAAATATATTAGGACTTGGGAGTTGGGACATCTCTAATACCAGGCGGAGAGAGAAGAATTAGAGGAAGGAAAGATGGGGGCCGAGAGATTGTGTAGGGGAGAATAAGTCGATACAATATATATATATATATATATATATATATATATATATATATATAAAATAAATAAACAACATGATTAAATGATTAGAAAAAAATCATTCTGATCGCAAATAAGTACGAAATCAAAAGATCAAATTTATTTATACAAAAATAAAAATAAAAATATAAACCCAATAGAAGAATTGAAACAAGGAAAGATTCAAGTTATGTGTAAAACACATTTTTCTTAAAATCGATTCGCTATCTTCTGAGTGTGCAAGGAGCATAGTAGCGTCAGTCTCTCATGATAAAATAGATCATGACTTAATGTTTGAGCACTCGAACAAAATAAGCCTCCAGCGAACTAGAATAAATAGAGAGCACTTCGACTTTTTTGAGAGTGTTGGCAAAATTTTAAATTTTATTAAGAAACTTTTGAGAGAGGTGGAGAGAAAAACAGCAATTTTGAAGTTCTTAAAAAACAACAATTTTGAAGTTCTTAAAGAAAACCACTAAAACCGTAAGAAGTACACCTAAAAGGTGTCGGCGCATATGAGTCAAGTCTTTTTCAAACTCATTTTGAAATTTGATTTGCATCCCCTGCGCACGAGAGAGAGACCGCACATGAGTCAAGTCTTTTTCAAACTCATTTTGAAATTTGATTTGCATCCCCTGCGCACGAGAGAGAGAGAGAGAGAGAGAGAGAGAGAGAGAGAGAGAGAGAGAGAGAGAGAGAGAGAGTCTCTAAGCTATAAAATTCAAACTCCCTCTAAAAAGGTATTGTACATATAGTGGTGCAAATCCGACCACTTCCCAAACCAATATCAGAAAAGTGCTTGTTAGAAGTCTTTCCACCTTCCTTTTCCAACTTAAATGAATTTACTTTTATAATCAATTTCTCATTCACAAATTATCTGTTGAGGGCGTACAATATATCAAAATTTCTTCGTCTCACTATGAATAACATGAATCCACTTTTTGACTCTACTCAAATTAAAAATCATCATCATATATATTTGTACAACAAAATAACCACTTAAAATGTCATTTTATCTTTAAAATATCAACATATTAGATTTCTCTAGGGAGAGTTATCTCCAAAAAAATCTAACACGAGCGTGTGGCCAACACGCTCCAATCAAGTGTCGGCGCTTGAATATACAAGTCCAAGACTGGCATATAAGCATATACAAACTTCAACAAGTTGCTCGTGTGATTGGTAATCCGCAAATTTTTTTGTATGAACTATGACTAAAATATATATTTTTAATATATTAAAGTTATATTATTTATGTAATGAATTTATATTATTTGATAATATATAAAATATCATATTTTTAATACTCAAATAATATACTTTTAATACACAAATTTAATATATTAAAAATGTATCTTTGTTCATATTCATGCCAATCAAATAAAGATGTAAGCACGTGCTCACCTTGCAAGATGGGCACGGTTCCATATCCATAATTTCTATACTGTAGATTCATAAAATTTATACTTTAGATTCCAATGTTGAAACTCTATTTTAACAAATCAGAGAACTATATGTTCATAATTTAATAACTATACAGTTTAAAAATTATGAATTTACAGTACAAAATTATGAATCTACATTACAGATATTATGAATGTGCAGTATAGAAATTATGAATATACTGTATAGAAATTATGAATCTACGATTTAGAAATTATGAATCTAAAGTATAAATTTTATGCTACAATATATAAATTATAGATCTACAATATAGAAATTATGTATATAGAATCGTGTCCACCTTACAAGGTGAGCACGTGGTCATAACATAACGTCCGTTGGTAATGGGAACCATTGCGAGTACGCTGCTAATAAAATAGAAGTGGCCCATGAAAAATGAATGCATATTTATTGTCTCTTACCCAAATACTGCCCATTAAACCATTGAGTTAAGCCCATGCGGGTCATATCAGTTGTTATATTATAGACCGCGGTGCATAATCGATTATGTACCGCGGCCCATATACGGCGCCGTTTCTTTAAGTAAAGAAACGGCCCGCCGTTAGAGTTAACGGAGTCTGTTTGTTTGGTGTATTAAACACCAACTGACACTACAATATATTCAAACTGACACTGCAGTTATATCAAAATGATACTGTAGTTATAGTGAAATGAAACTGCAGTGTATATAAACTGAAACTGAATAACATTTCACATATTTGAGTGTATATTATACAATGAAGCTGTAATTATATCAAAATGATCATGTAGTTGTGTTTTAATAAAACTATAGTGTATATAAAATAAAATTAAATAACATTTTCACATATTTGAGTCTATAAATATCGAATGAAACTATAGTTATATCGAAATGAAACTGTAGTTGTGTTCAACTGAAACTGCAGTGTATACAAAATGACACTGAATAACAGAGTTACTTTTTGTAAAAGGGTGCGAAACGGCGAAAATAAACACAGTTAATTTTCATTTAAAAAAAAAAAGACGCGCGGTGCATAATCGATTATGCACCGCGGTGCATAATATAATTTGCCGGTCATATTTATTGTCTCAACTATATTTTCTTCTCCCAACTATATATTAATTCCGGCGATGCCCACATTTCTTTTTGTAATAATATTTTTTTTTTGTTTTTAATAATGATTTCATTGTGTTTCTATTTGCACAAAATTTTATTTTCTTTACCTACTATCTATCTATCTATCTATCTATCATTATAATAAAACAATAACTTCCTCTAAAAAAAAAATTTTCGCCCACACAATACGGCACCGTTTAATGAAGAAAAATGAATCAGTTCGAATTTATTGTATTCACATTAGCTTCCAGTTTTCAATGTCATATTCCCGGCTAAATTATGTGTTGGAACATCACATTTGTTTACTTTGTCTATTACCAATGTAGTTATTACTTATTACAGATCCATAATTACATTGAGAAGCTAAACCATAATCTACGGATTTACATTTACATTTACATATATACGTACATATTATATATATATATATATATATATATATATATATATATATATATATATATATATATATATATATATATATATATATAGAGGGATGCACTCAGGTGCGAATAAGTGCCTAGGAAGGAATATGCGAACGAATCAGCGCGCGACACGTGTTCAGATCTAATAGCTTAAAAAAAACGCGGTGGCATTTTCGTAAATAATTGAACATCGAAGTGCAAGTAAAATCACTTACAAGTGCACCTACTTTCACCTATAAGTGCATGTAATTTTGCCTTGTTAGCATTCACTTCCCGCAAACATTCATGCATCTGGGTGTGCTTATAACTATAGGTGCAACTATTTATAACTATAGGTGCAACTACTTATAACTATAGGTGCATCTACTTTCACCTATAAGTGCATGTATTTTTGCCTTGTTAACATTCATTGATCTGAGTTCAGCGGGTAGTAATACCCCTGAAAACCACTCGCAAACATTCATGCACCTAAATGCAACTACTTATAACTATGTGTGCAACTACTTAGAACTATAGATGCAACTACTTAGAACTATAGGTGCAACTACTTATAACTGTAGGTGCACTTAGTATTGATGCTCAGTGTAAATTTTTACTTTCACCTATAATACATTTTACATGCACTTGTAATACATTTTACTTGCACTTCGATGTTCAATTATTTACGAAAATGCCACCGCGCTTTTTTAAAAAAAAATAAGCGTTTCCCATCCATTAGATCTGGACACGTGGACGGACAAAATTCATTCCTATTTCGCTCCTGGGCGAAGCATTCGCACCTGAGTGTATATATATATATATATATATATATATATATATATATATATATATATATATATATATATATATATATATATATATATATATATATATATATATATATATATATAGAGAGAGAGAGAGAGAGAGAGAGAGAGAGAGAATTTCAATTTTGGTCCACTGACTATTGGAGTTGTGTTAATTGCAACACTTGACTTTTAAAAATGTTAATTTAGTACCTTGACTA